TTTATCAAATACTTTATTATATATTTCCTTATTCACAATTGTGAGAGATAAACTTGAAGTTCAGTTTAATTTCAGCTGCAAGTTTCTTCTGTATTTAAAGAATCAATATGATATTGTTTCTTCGAAATCTGCTCTATGCTATATGTTTTTCTTCATTTGCTATTCCACTTCAAATTAATCTTGATCTAACGGAACGATTAAATAATAATACATTTCAACATGATTGTCTTCATGTTTTAACGTCGATGGATAATAAAGCATATACTCCTCAAATAATTTCATATTGTATGAGTGAATGGCCATCAAAATGGAATATACAAAAGAATAATTTTCATCAAAATTTTACTTTTGATGAACTTTTCAAAAATAATATCACTAGTCAACAATTATATATATGGTCTGCACCAATGGATATTATTGAAAATTATCAATTCTATCTCAATCAACTTTCAACATTAAATCAAACATCGTTGGGAACAAAAATCTATTATAATTGTACATTACCATGGTTTGGTCCGATGTGCCAATATTCATTAGATGTTCAACAATCAAGTAATTCATCATTGAACAAAGTAATTTACGATTTTTATGTCGCTAACAAATATCAATTGGTTACTTCGATATGTTATACTCTTTTACAATGTAATCTTGGTTCATCATTTCTATGTCTTCATTGGGATAATATTTGTGATGGTTTTATTCAATGTATGGATGGAATCGATGAAGAACATTGCTGGAAATTAGAAATTAATCAATGTAAAGAAGATGAATTTCGATGTAATAATGGACAATGTGTACCATTGGCATTAACTGTTGATGAGGACACAGTTGCTAATTGTATTGATGGAAGTGATATTATTCCACTTTCAAAGAAATGGATCGGTATCACTGAACCAACATCTCGAAATGAAGACATTTTTTTCTGGGATACTGCACGTTTGCTTTCTCAACCTTCAGGTTGGTCTGTTATGTTAGACATTTTTCCGCGTTTACTTCGTCTAATGAAATTCATGTTATATGACAGATCAAATTCTACATCTGAAATATGTTGGGCAGCACTTCAATGCTACCTTCAGTTGAACGGTTTACCATATATAGACTGTTATACTATCAGTCAACAAAAGACATTACAAAAAATAATTGAAGAGGAATGTCCTGCTATGTTTTACATGCCATCTATTCCAATCGCATTTGGTCATATGTATTTTGCTTATACAAAAAAATACATTATCGAACAAACTATATACACGAATATACCTGAATATTTGTGTTACAAAGAACAATTATGTGGGAGATTGAATTCTGCCATACCAACAATCTCATTTAATAATTCTACTTGTCAACGTTATCAAA